CCACGTGGGTCTCAGAGGCAATGCCCCTGAGCACCTCCAGGGCGTTGTCATAACTCAGGTCCACCAAGGGCTGGCCGTTGACCGCCAGAATGATGTCTCCGGCCTGGATGAGGCCACTCTGCTCTGCGGCACCCCCGCGAATCAGATCGGAGATGATCACGGGGGGCTTGCTCACCCGCTCCTTCACCAGGAATCCCAGGCCCCCGACTTTGCGCTTGAAAAGGCGGACAGAAATCACGTTGGGCTGGATTTGCTGAACGCTGAACATGTGATTCTCCATGGTGTCTAACGTCCAAGGGTCTGAAGACCTCAGACTAGGTCAAGCCAAGACGACTTTACCAGGAGACGCCCAGCGGCAGGCTGTGCTGAGAAGGACCTGGGGGCTGGTGCTGCAGAGGCTGAGAGGAGTCTCAAGAGTGAGCTGCTCTTGGGCTCAATCTCGTCTGTCTTTGACGTCAACTCGGTGTCACCCACTCATTGCTGTTCGGCTATCGGTGGCATGATTTCCTGCGTCTGCTTCCTTCCTTGGGTCTCTAAGGAAGCGATGGTTGATCAGGCAGACGTCAGAAGAAGCAACAGGTCAGACGAGCTGGGAGGAGAAGTGTCTGGTGGATGTGTCTAGAGGTGACGCACGCTCTAGTGGGCTATCCTTTGGGCATTGGCAGCCCGTGAGATGCAGATTAGATCTGGGGCTTCCTGAGCAGAAGAGAAAGGACAAGGGAAGGGATGGAGATAATTAAAAAGGAGAGATTAGTGTGGAGTGCCCACCACCACCTTCAAAACTAAGATGGGAAATGCAGCCAACTGAGAAGTCGAGCTATCAGATGATCTGGAGTTCTGAAGCCAACCTAGAAACAAAACCTTTCTTCCTTGAGGGGCATAGCTTCCCAGTTAGCTGCAAATTAGATGAACCTGGGTTCATCTTCCTGATCAAAGCCCTGGGGGAAACGACTGACAGTCCCAGAAATCAGAAAGCAAGAATGAGAAGGCCTCTTTTATTTCTTTCCCACCGCAAGCAGTCACCCCTCCAACTTGTCACGCGGCCTTTGTCTCCCCGTGTTTCACAAACATGTATCCACTCACAGGTCAGGAGCTCAGCCAGCACGGATCTCTGGGCTCTCCGTTCTGGCTGCTCTCAAAGCCCCCGCAACAAGCCCCCTGGAAGGGGAATGATGCTACCGTCCATGGAACTGCCTACGAAAGATGTCAATTAGCTTTTAGGACCATTTTTATAATCATCAACTTGTTCCAGGTTCAAGAGGACAGACTCGACCAGATTAAAAACCGTTATAGGGCAACCGGTTAGTTCAGGTGGTTAGCGTGCAGGCTCATAACACCAAGGTGGCCGGTTCGATTCCCACACGGGCCAAGGAGCTGCGCCCTCCACAACTAGATTGAAACAACTACTTGACTTGGAGCTGACGGGTCCTGGAAAAACACACTGTTCCCCAATACAATTTCTAAGAAACCCCAAAAAAACTCCCCACAAAGAAACAAACCATTATAAACCAATCTGGGTATAATAAATACCAAAGATATGGGTCCACACAAAACTTTGAAAGCCATAGGTACTCCACAGACCACCTAAAACCCTAAAAGAGAAACATTAGGGAAAGCAGACTGTGTACCCCAAGGTGAACATAAGCACGTAGCAGATGCTCAGTGAGTAACTGTTGAACGAAGAAGAAAAATCCCCAAAGACTAAACATAGTGGACACTTACTGAGCATGGACACTCCTTTGATATGCACAGCAACCGTTCGATATAGGTGAAGACCAAAGGGTCAGCGACTTGTCCAAGGTCACGCACAGAATGGGGGCAGAGAGGATTTGAACTTAGGTTGGCCCCACACTTTTAAACGTATGCTCCAGTTTTTAAAAATTTATATTCTGGTTATTTTTGCAACTCCCACCAGCTCCCCCAGGCTCGGGGCCATGAGGTGTGGTTGGGGTACCAAAGGCCAACAGGGGGCCCAGCTGGATATTGTGCCCCAGGTGAGGTGTGTGCACCTGTGGCACATGCACAGCAGGCAGTG